AACATCGTTACAGTTTGCTTCATCAGTGCCATCCAGACAGTCTCTCACACCACTGCACTGCCTTCTTCCGTGGACACAGTTCCCATCTACACATCTGAACTGGTCTGGCCTGCAGGTCTGAGAAGGGCAGTTAATTTCATCACTTCCATCCTTGCAATCAGGATCTCTGTTACAGTCTTTTTCACCATCACATTTCCAGGACACCAGGATACACTGGGTTGACTGAGGACCACAGCTGATTTCATTTACCTGGCATGTTCTCATATAACACAGATCAGCACTCTCATGAGACCCATTTTCACAGTCCGGATCCCCATCACATTGCCATCTGTTTGGCACACACTGACCACTGTTGCACACAAAGTCAGATTCAGCACACGTCTTCTTCACACAAGCACTCTCATCACTGCCGTCTGAGCAGTCTTCACATTTTGCTCTAGCACTGTTGGCAGCAGTGCACAGGCAGGTGAGGGCGAGCAGCAGGCAGAATGCCCCACAGCGCGGCAGTGCCTGCCGCCGCCCTGCACCTATGTCACTTATACTACTCCTATTACCCGTGCTAGTAGTGTCAGTGGCATCCTCCTGGTACCGTTTCTGTCTTTGCCGCCCCTTACTCTCCCCCTTTTCTTTTTGCCACTGACCATTCACCACAAATGGATAAGACACATGATTACTAGTTAGGAAAGAGAGTGTAACGTCTGCTATACGGCTGCAGGCAGTGCCAGCTGCAATCCTAGAAGCTGTTTTTGAACGAGCCTGCCGGTGGTCATTTGGCAGTGTAATCTGCGTCTCTGCACTCCTGCCCTGCAATAGAGCTAAATCGTCATTAATAGTCCGTAGACTGAGGCAACCCCACGGAATGTTATCCAGAAACATAGTTATAACACCGATCTGGGGACGAATAGTCTTTTTTGCATTGCAAGATAAACCTCTTATAAAAAGAATGCCAAAGAGAAGCAGCACAGCCGCCGCTTCCTCCATGGTTACGTCAGACAGGCTGCAGGGTCCTGATGTCCGCCCCTCTGCTCTGTGCCGACTCGCCACACGGTGAGGGTCGGCTGCCGTTGTCCACTGATGCCTCTGGTCTCCCGTAGCAACTCGATCTCGGATGTCCCGCATCGCACCGTGATCACGTCAATTTCCCGCGGCCCTCCGCAATTCCACGTCCCGCCGCAACTCCGTTTCCCGCGGCCCTCCGCAATTCCACGTCTCGCCGCAACTCCGTTTCCCGCGGCCCTCCGCAATTCCACGTCTCGCCGCAACTCTTTTTCCCGCGGCCCTCCGCAATTCCACGTCTCACCGCAACTCTATTTCCCGCGGCCCTCCGCAATTCCACGTCTCGCCGCAACTCCGTTTACCCGCGGCCCTCCGCAATTCCACGTCCCGCCGCAAAAACCCCGTTTCCCACCGTTTTCACGCGTCTCTCAGCGGGAGTACCGCGTCTCACCGTGAGGCCCGTGTACCGTGTGTCCGGGCCGGTGTCCGGTCTGCTCAAGCGCCGGTCGGATGGGCGCTCCGAAGTCCCGACGGCGCGGCGAGATCGCGGCGCCGCTGGTCCCGGCGCCGCCGGTCCCGGCGCCGCTGGTCTCCTGGTCTACCTGCGTTCGGATGTGCCGGCGCCGCTGGTGTCCCGCTGCGCTGCGATGTTTGCCCCGGCGCCGCTGCGATGTCCGTGCTCGGCTGCGATGTCTGCTCCGGTGCTGCGATGTCCTGCTCCTGTGCGATGTCTGTTCAGGTCCTGTTCAGGTCTCCCGCTGCGATGTCCTGTTCAGGCCCTGTTCAGGTCTCAGCCTGTTCGGGCGCCATATGTTGCAGGAAGCACGGCCGAAAGCACGACAGACACCAGTAGAGTCAGATCATGCTCCATTTTATTGCCCGAATAGCCTAACTTTTATAGAGAACTTAACAGGGGTGGACAGTGTTTCACACAAGATTATTGGTCAAAAGCACTCAGACAAACAACTGCAAGAAAACAACCCCACCTGCAAGAAAACAACCCCCTTGTGATTAGCAGTCACATAGACCTTGTCCTTGAAGCCAGCTACTGGTAACAATATTTTTCTGAGTTCCTCAATTGGGCGATGTGGGAACACTGTCATGGGAACTTCTCATAGTTGCCCTGGTAGCTTGGTTTGCTCAGCTACAGCAAGCCATGGGATTTTTGCTGTTTCAAGAAATCCCTCAACACCATGCATTCCTCCTTCCTTACATTTGACGAACAGTAACATTTTCTTGTCTGCTTCTCAGGCAGCCTAAAGAAGTTCAATTCAGGAAAGGTAAACAAGCTAAATTTTGCAATGTAGTAGTTGGTCCACATTTCCATTAAGTAGATCATCCCTTATTGTTAGGGTAGTGTTATAAACAGTGTCATCATGCAAGAATCCTCTACGTAGACTGAATTCCCAGACATCTCATAGAGTTGGCAATGTGTTTCATAGATACCAGTCTGTCATTAGTCAACCTTCACAACAAAGTACAATCAAACCCCAGTCAGGTTAAACCATATAAGCAAAAAGTGTGCTTTTCTCAGTTCCTTTTTTCCTTTTTTTTTTTTTTTTTTGGCAGCTTGTACAGACATTTATGTCAAGACAAATTAAAATTTGGTGTGAAGAAAGATCACATATGGAGACTAGCTTTTTGCATAGCTGTAAACAGCAGCACACTGTTGAGAATAAGCCATAATAAGCCAGAATGTCCACTTCACTTTTCTTTTGTAAAACAAATATCGGCCTTTGTATAACAATTTTGACATATCTGGCTTGATAATATCCAAGCGTGTGTTGTTTTTTTTTTTTTTTAAGTTGCTTTTTAATAGTAATTCATAGACAGTTGTTTTCACTTTAAAATAAATAAATAATAAAAAGTATATTTAAACTTGGTAGGTTTCTTCTAATTAACATTTTTTAAACATAACGTTAAATCAGTGCTCTGAAATAATTCATAACTTTATGTCTTCATGTTATTGATATTAAAAGTCTTACCTTTGTCTTCAGCTAAACAAGTTATATTATTTTTTTCCTGGAAGAATATTTTTAGTTTGTTTTATTTGTTTGTGTGTGAGTGCATGCACATGCCTTTGTTTTTTCCCCTTCTGGAAGCATGTTTATCATTCTAAGCCTGAAAGTTGTAAAGTATAACCCCTTATATATAGACAAATATTTTTCTCCCTCCCTCCCTCCCTCCACCCCCAAAAACATATAAATGAAAGTGAAAATCAGGTGGTCATTTATCATGAGATTAAATCAGAAAGTTGAGCCAAGAAAATGAAGTTCAGCTTCTTAGTAAGTGTATAGAATTCCTATGTCATGTAGCCTTAATTATGGCTACTATGAAGATACTAAAGATGTACAAACCCCTGATTTAAATAAACATATACATCTTATACATCCACAGAAGAGAGAATGCCAAGGCAGGAGGGCTGATTTGCAGTGAAGAAAAGCAATCAAAAAAAAAAAAAAAAAAAAAAAGCAGGGCTTACTGAATAGAGAAAAAAAAGTGTCAAAGCATTCTGTTTTATCGTCTTTTTTACAAATTTAGTTACTCTATGCATATTATGACATTTGCAAGGAAACCAAGGGCTTTTTTTTTTTTTTTAATATATAAAAGCAGACTGAAAAAGAATCATTATACACAACAGTTTTTTTTTTTTTTCTTTTCTTTATGGATTAGAGTCCTTAACAGAACAATGTATGTAGTTATTAATGAGATTTGTGTTTTGTTCATTGTCAGTCTTTCGGGAAAAAAAAGCATGTGTTTTCATTATTTTAGGGGTAATCTCATCCTGCAGTACTCTGGTCCCATGGAACATTTCAAAAATGAGTACTGTTAATGGTGACACACTGACAGATAAAAGGAGTTCAGAAAAGAACCCCTAATACTGGAAAGTGTACTACAAAAGAACAGTAGCTGGTTCTATTGAGATAAACAATTTCATCCCAATTTCAGGACAGACTGTGTTGGAAAGTATAAAATTAGCGTGCAACTAGGCAGTCTGAGAGACAAAATGAACTTCTGATTGTTCAAAAGGGATATTAATCTCTTGAAAGGTTAGAGTTTCAGTTGTTGAGTTAGAAAAGTGAAACCCCAGGACTGCTTTTGTAATGAGGGTGTAAAGATTTTGAATTTTTATCCCTTCTCAGACTGGACATAGAATTCCAAAGACAAACAAAACTTCTGTAAGCTTTGCAAAACAAAGGTTTTAACAGTTCTTTGTTGTCAAGTTGCTGCCTTTACTTTACCTTTTCTATTGACCCATTATTTTTACTGACAGTTATATAATTTTAAAGAAGTCAATTACAAGTTATTTCACTACAGAAAACGTTATGCATGACTTTAATATCTTAGAGCTCCTGGGCCTTTCTGAACAACAAATTGCCCATTTCCAAGCAGAATGTACTAAGTCCAATGCAGCTTCTGTGCAGCTTCTCAATGGTCTACTATATCTATACTACACACCAGAGATCCTGCACCGTTATAGAGTGAGGACTCAAATGAAATCCTGCTGAAGTAGGAACACAGTAAAAAACAAACAAACAAATAAACAAACAAACAAAAAGCCTGAACAAACTTTCTGTTCTCTTGCATTCAAATACTTTGAGGAGAGGGTGGGGGGTGGGAGACCGGAATTTTGTAACATAGCTCCATCAGCTTTGAAGCTTGTCTTATTCACAGCTGCCAGCGTGGGTGTTAGGTGGACCCACTGCTCAGGCACTGCGAGGCAACATTTCCCTTCCTGCCTCTTCCTTTGTGCAGTCTGGTGTGCACAGCACCGTGTGCACTTGCACAGGTAAAGCTCCTGTCCCTGACGGGAACCACAGGGGTGACCCTCACAACCTCTGTCTGCACAGCTGAGTGCTTCCCTTTGAGATTGCCTGCCTCTGCCCAGCAGCAGAGCTAGTTCACCTGCTGCCCCTTCCCCTGCACCCTCCAGGTAGTCTCTCCGGCACGGTCGGGGCCTTCCCACTCTCCCCGGAATGGGCACGGGAAACGGCTGCCCTTACCTGGAGCAAACACCATGGTGCTGCCACCCCGCACCGTCAGCACCTCGGACGGCGGCCGCGCCGCTCAGCACCACGGACAGCGGCCGCGCCGTTTCAGCACCGCGGACAGCTCCCGGCCCCGCACGGTTCAGCACCACGGACAGCTCCCGGCCCCGCACCGCTCAGCACCGCGGACAGCTCCCGGCCCCGCACGGCGGCGGAGGCGGCTGCGGGCCGCGGTCCCTCCCTCCACAATGCGGCGGGGCGGGGAGGGGGCCAGGGCGCCTCCGCCGCCCGCACGGACGGACACACGCACACACACACACACACACGCACGGACGCACACTCAGAGCAACACCGCTGCCACAACTCGCTGCCCCGCAGCGACAGAAGCAGGGAGGGCGAGGAAGGTAATAGAGGTCCGCCCAGCAGGGAGACCGGCTAATTGCTCCTAATTACCTCTCGGCACCAGCCCCGCTGCCTGACATTTCGGGGCGCGCTGCTTTCGCCACAAGCTAGCAGCCTTGCTAATACGCTCCAGCGACACTGGACTTTGTCACGGCACTGTAGCTCTCAAAGATTTAAATGCTGAGGAATTTATACCCTTATTTCGCAGGCCTGATAACACAGCTGTAGTGACAGAAGCACTTCGAATTAAGAGGGAACATTAATGTTCCAAAACATAAAACACGATTTATTATTTAATTTACTTATTAATTACTATTTAATTATTTAATAAACACAATTTATTAAGGTAAATAAATAAATGAATGAATAAATGAACTAAGGAAACAGGAGGGCAAACAGTGTGAAATGATAAAACTTTAAAAAAAAAAAAGCACAACTTTTGTGTTTCACTCTTAACTTGCTTTTATTTGTAAAACCAATGCTCAGGTTTCATGGGGTCCCAGAACTTCCACAACCGAAGCAGAAAGCACTGACAACAGTCAGATGGGACACAATTTACAGTAAATAACTGTTCTGTTTAACCCTACACCTGCAAGAGGTAGTTTGAAAAACATTGATTAACCAGTGCAGATTAGCAAAAAATAGATTAAAAACACATTTTTAGTTGGAAAAATGGCATGTAAATTTTTGCGATATGCAATGCATTTTCCAGTCATGTGTTTATAATCTACAGATTTCTACAAACCTATTTCATTATTTTCATAATCAAGCATTTTAAACACACACAGCTTTCCATATAAATCTTGAATAATTTAGGTATCCAAATAAGTCCTTATTCTTAAAATATTGATACAGAAAAGCCCTGACTCGCTTAAGTAATTCTGCCTATATACTCCAGCAAGAACTCAAGAATGGCATCACTTACAAAGTCAAACTAATCACATGGTGACAGTTTTATATATTTATTTATGGAACACCATATATGATCACGTCTGGATGAGAAGGCCTTCAAGATTTATCTTTACATACCATTTCTTGTATCTGATTTCTGGATGTTCACAAGATCTTCTTCCTATCAGTTTCAGCTTCTTTATTGCCATTTCTTCCTCTCTTCTGCCTTATATTTCAAAGATTTAATTTCACTTCTCTCAGACAGCAACTAACTCAAACATTATAACTCTGACTGTTTAGAAATATTGTTGTTTAAGAATGCTACCTGTAAATATATTTTTTGCATCTATTGTTAGTTTGTATCTACCTAAAATCTGAGAAATAATAGCATACTTATGAACATGAACTTATAATAATTTCTAGTACACGTAGCCCAAATACAGGAGGAAAATATCAGCTCTCTTATGAGAAAGATAAAAGGTGTCCTATAATCTTTAGAAAACCAGGACTTTGAAAGACTGTAGGAAAATTCATACTGGTATTTTTTATGATGTATCTGTTACATGGCCTCTGTATACTTCATTCATGTCTTCAGTGGAGGGTCAGCCTTCATAGAAAAAAATGTTAACCGCTTTTCTCAAACAAACAAACAAACAAAACCACATCAAATCTATAATTTCTATTACAGACATCCCCAAAGGAAATTAGGTGTATGTTTCTAAGAGAGTAAGCTTTGAAATGGTGGTGCAGTTTCCAAAAAAGATATTAAAAACAGTAAGTTATGTTTCAGTGATCAAAAAGTTTGTAACCTACCTGTAAAATTCTATGAGGGTATCGTTGATTTTGTAATAGAACCTACAACATTTTGGTGAAAGAATAAAGATCATTAGCCATAATATTCTGCAAACATCTTACTTTAATCGATATCTGCATTTAATCTAATGAATTACTGAGAACAGGCATGCTTTATTTTAGAATCTTCAATTTTTCTTTCTCAATTTAAAAGCTAGCAGCAATTAATGTTTTCTGACTGAAGCAAAAACGCTATACTGGGCTTCTGACTAACATGTTTTCAAATTCCAGATTTGTTCACAGGTTCATCAGCACAAAAATCACTGAAATAATTGTGCAGCATATAGTTCTGTTGTAAATTATCACCTCAGATGGAATACTGATGGAGGCAAAATTTTCCTCCAATTTATAAAATCTTCGAAGGGATAGCAGTAAGCAAAATGTGCAGCTAATACAACAGAATAATGAAAACAAGTAGTGCACTAATAATTATGCTCATTCAACTTTAGATCAGTGGAAAACATCAGTTAAGCCCAGTAACTCAAAAAAGCCTGTGAGAGTAAAGCATAGTGCTAAAAATGAGGTATATCATTAAAATACAATACATGACCTTGTTCTTTTAACGACTTTAGAAAACAGAAAATATGAAAACACAGAGAAAAACATCTGTATGTATTTTTACCATTAATTATATAGTCCCCCTTCCTTGTGTATCGTTTATCTTACTGGTTGAGTGAGGAACTAGTAGTCTCTGTATAACATCAGAAGACTTAAAAATTTTCAAGTATATGTCTTCAAATATTTTTAAAGAAGCTTCAACTTACTTAAAGTGTACTGCATTAAGAATGTTAACGTTTTAAAATCGATAGTTACAAAAATCAGTTGACTGATGTCACTTTAAAATTACCCACATATCTGATGTAAACCTATTATTCTAATGGGGCTGAACACAATTATGTTGGCACAGAGTCATCAGCTTAATAAACATTTTTTAAGGATTTTTTTTTTACCTTAAGATGTTCAAAGTTTCAACATTTTGTTAACAAAAATGTACAGCTAACATTTTACAGGTAGGCATCTGAGTGTTTCTGGAAGAATCATTTGGAAGTAATCACCTAAATATAAATGCAAACATTTTATAAGAAATTATTATAAAAATAAAGAGATAATCAGGAAGATTTCATATGTATGTATCAAATGCTAGTAAGTTTTATATTTTATAAAAAGCTGTCTCCCCAGCTTTGAGAACAAGCTAACCCTTAGCCACTTTATATTTCCTCTTATACTTCAAAATTTATAATCAAACCTTGCTCTTTCAGAGGGAAGATTAATCTGATCAGTAAACCACCTGTACTACCTTGATGTCTTTTGCTAGACTGAGTAGTATCATAAATGTCTTCAAAAAAGTAGTTACAGACACTATCTTATGGTTAAACTTAAGAAAGATCTCTACAAGCCAAGGTGCAATACATTACAACTGAAACTGCAAGGAGGCTGTTCAGAGGAAATAATTATGAGAGACTGTCAGCAAGAAGCATCTAAAATTACTTAGATGAATATTTGAAGTGTCAAATGACAATTTGTATAGAGGGGATCATAATATTCAGTGACCTAGATTTAAATTAGAACAATTAATGCCTCTGTGATTAATATGCCTCTACCAAACAGATGCAGGGAATAAACAGAGTAGGGAAACGAGAAAAATCTAAACAGGTAGAAGTACCATTCTCCTGAAAAAGGGAATAAATTAAAAGCCAGTTACCTTTCCGTGAGTATTCCAGAAGAACAGCAATGCACAGACTTCCAGTGGCCAAAGACATGAGACCTTGAAAGCCAGCAACAAGAACATGCAACATTTTCAGGAACAGGAGAAAGTTAACACCATTAGTTTAAAGACAAATGTGGCCATTAGAGTTTCAATGCATTTGTCTATTCATTTTTCTTAATTAATTTGATAAACTACATATTAGTCTAGGCTTAAGATTTACAAACATGGATATGTTTTAGAGTCAAACAGCGGTATGGTTTAACCTTTTTTTTTTTTTCTTTTTTCCTTCTTAATTTAAATATCACAGAAATGAGTCCATACTGGGACTTTTCACAACAAGTAAAGGATCCCAAAAGCCCCATATCCTTCCAGGGAATCTCTGTAGCTTCCCTAGATTCTCCATCTAGGAAATCTGTGATACACAGCTGCCATCACAACATCTGAATGCCTCACATTAGCAGGTGCTAATGATTTCATCTTCCAACAGTCACATCAGAAATATCTTTATGTTACAAACGGGAGAGAAAATTACAGAGAAGTTGAACACAAAACAAAAACCAAACAATAAGAAATAAAGACCTAGATAAATTTAGAAGGTCTAAATATGAGACTGAATGATTCATCTAAAGCATTACCACACACGCAACAGTGGAAAAATCAATGAAGCCAAAGTAAGCAGCTGCTCCCACCTGCCACACCTTTGTAGACAACCTGCCCCTCCACTGAGACAGATGAATGAATCACTGTCCAAAAACCAGTGTCTTTAGATCACAATGAAATTATGCTATACAGCAAGGAATTCAGTCCAGTCAAGTCCTAGGCTAATGGATCTAGCAGAGACACTGTGAAACACAGGAAAAGACTTTAAAGGATCTCACATAAAACTCATGATAAGAACAAGGCCATACCATTCTGCACCAAAGACTCATAGGATAGGTTGGGAGTATGCCATAGAAAAATTCTCATCTTCAAACCTTTTCTGTTCTACCAGTGTAACATGTCTATTAGAATAAGAATGAATACTTTTGCATTTATCCCTCTCTTTTGCATTAAGAGTGTTTAAGACTATGATCATACCACAGCTTATTGGTGTCTGTAACTTGCCTTAAGTCATAAAATCAGGTATATGCTCAAGTCTTTAAAGAACCTAAAAGAAGATACGCAAAGAAGCATTTATGACTCCTGGAAAAGAGCTAAAGTGATAAAAAGGCAGGTTTAAAATAAAAGAAAAAAATCCAAACTTGCTAGAATATAGTATTTCATTAAAGACTTTGATAAATTCAAGTATAATATTTTAGTAAATGCAAACAACCTAAATATTAAACAACAGGCTTAATTTATCACTCAGAGAATAAATACATTTAATACGTATAAATAAAAATAACTATTTTAACTTGCTACTAAAGGGCTTAGATTGGTTGAGAAGGGGAAACTATTGAATTACTAAAGATCTGAAACATAACATACGAACATTAAATATATAACACTGTTTCCTAACTTGTTCTGTAGAAACAGAAAGATGGGTTTTTAGCCATCATGCATAGCTAAAAATTAAACTGTATAATTATTTGGCCTAATTGCTTAAATTACATTTGTGAACATCAAAAGAAATCTTTCTTTTGCAATACCTTTTAATAAGAGTAGAGTGTCAAAAGTCTAAAGTTAGCAGGATTCACACAGAAAAGACATGCCCAATTAAAAAACATCTATAGGAGGATATCACTGCTCTAGCAGAATTTATCACATCCATCAAATCTGGACTACCCTTGGACTGCATTTAATCAGTCCTTATAACGATGGGCAACTTACAGTCATACAACTGGATAAAAAAAAGTTAATGACTGAATTGGAAGATTAACCTTATGTTTCATATTGAAAATATTTACTAATTCTGTTAAAATTGGTAATTGTTAACTTTAATTATAACATTTCCGTTTTACCAGACATGTATTTACAATGGAAGCTATGACATTTTTAAATAAGAATTTCTGATTTATTTGTTTCAATTTTTGCAGACTGAAAAACAAACTCTAGCATGAGTAAATGTACCTGTCATGCACTTCAAAAACTTTAGATTTTAATCATTTCCATGCATATAGGTCTAATACCTGTTAGTCCAATTAGTAAGCTTAGTCATATTCAGACCTCTTATTAATCTGACATATAAAAGCAAGGGTATAGCTGATCCTACATATGAAGTAGATGAATCAAACTCTTTTCCGTTATTTGATTTAAGATTGGATTCCAGAACAAAGATTAATTCTAGAAACAAAGTTAGAATGTATTTGTTTCTTAAAAAAAATCAAGTCTCACTTTAACGGAAACATTTAATGAGGTCTTAACTGCTTTTCAGGGGTATAAGGTTTCATGTAAAGTACTAAAAAGTTTAAGACTGAAACCTCATACCTCTGCTACAAAGTTTAAGTCTCAAAATTCTGGTTTAAACTCTATTTTATATTTTAAGAGCAAAAATATAGTAGATGTTATTGCTATAATCTTGCTGGAAAACTTGAAAACTTTTCTGGATGAATAGGTAAAATATTACTGGGTAAAATAAAATCAATAACAGCTGTAATATAAAATAAGGTATCTTGTAAAAAAGAAAATATTTAGTGCTGGCATTACAGATGGAAAAAAAAATACTTGTTAAAAGTAAAGCACAGAAAATTATAAGAAATATCAGAGAACAGAATTCATTTCCAGGGAAGAACTTTTCACTGAAAGAAGGCAACTCTAGAACAAGAAAGCTTTCTGCAGCATTTGCTATGCAGCCTAAGAATTAAATTTAAAACTCCTTAACTCAAAATTGAGAACCAATTTTATATATAAACGTATCTACACTTTTTATAGTCAGGTCTTCAAATGGATCCATACTTACCTATACCTGGTAGAAAATAAAAATCACTCATTAAAAAATCTTCATATTTAGCAGAAAAGCCTAAACTAGAAAGACAGAAAAAAAGTTCTTAACAAGAAATCAGCTGATATCACCTGATAAAACACAGAATCCGTGTATCACTGTAGATTTGATTTATATTATTTGCAAAAGCTAGAGACTGTTTGATAATTTTTACAAAGTAAGAGTGATCTAAAATAGACTTAGAGAATATTGTCTACTTCTAAAATCTGTAAACATAAATCAATGTTGCAAAAATATATTTTTTCATCCTCTTAGGCTTACAGTTTTATCCTTCAGTGAGTTAAATATTTATTGTCTTTTTAATTATTATTTTCTCTTTAATCTGAGTAATTTGCCAGAATTCAAGGCTTTGTAGGATTACTAGGTGAGAGGCAAGAAGGACTCAGAGTAATCTAAATAGTAACAAAACAGAAAACAAAATCAAAAAAGTACAAACCTCCAAAGTCTATCCCCTCCCCCCCCCCCCAAAAAAAAAAAAGATAAAAAATAATCAGAAAACAAACAAAACAAAAGAAATGAAGCACACACGTTTCTCTCTTCAAAATCCCCTGAGTTTACCAGTAGTAGCTTTTGCACAGGAGTTATGTCTGATCCTTTCTGTTGTCTGGTTGCCTCTCACAAACACTTTGCTACAAATGCTGTATTTTACCAGCTTGTGTTGAATGTTGTAGCAAAATTGGATAAATCCTGCTCCATTCTGTCTTCTAACTAGCTATGTGCTCCTGCCACTTACCTTGAATCAAATCTAATGTATTGGTTCAACAAGGTAGGCCAGCTTAAATCTAACTCACTGAAGCACTGAATTGCTCTGTTACAGAAACTCACTCAATTGGCTTACCCTAAAGCCCCAAAAGCCATTAAACAGGGCAAACGAGGGAGGAAATGGGTGCAAAAGACATATTTGGAGAGGAAAGGAGAAAATGGAATTAACTCTCTTAGCAACAATTTGCAGTTTTACTACGTCAAATGAAACACAAAGGTGCTGTCTTGGGAGGCAGTCCCACCATGGCCAAAGTCTGTGCAACTTTGGGCTGCTTCTCCACTGACCCTAGCACTGAGGTAGTCATGTATGTGGTGTTGCACTTCAGGGGGGTAACAAGCTTAAGAACAGCCTCAAAACAGCTATTAGTTTTCAGGTGCTTCACCTCTCTACAGAGAAGTTCACTGAGATATTCCACAAGTGCTGCTGCAGACCCAACAGTGAACTGTGGTAACCATAACTCAGGTTGACTGAAATTAGCACGGATCTGAAACCTTGATCTTCTTTAATATTTTCCCTTATCTTGCAAACAAGAAAACATCTCATGATTTACCTCTGTCCTGGACACGAAGCCTATAGCTTCGTTTGTTACCTCTCTCTTTGTTATCACTTAAGACAAATAACTAGGCTTGAGTTAAAAAGAACACTAGGCCTGTTCCTATGCCTTAAGAACACTGAATATAGATTGCCTTTGGATTCAAGGGGAGAGTCAGTAGCTTGTTAAAAAAGAAGAGTATCCAACATATTAACTAATAAGCACGATATTAGTTCCATGAAAGTTCTAGGCATAGTAAATTCTACCCAGAAGTACTGCGTAGCTTTGCTTGAAATTATGTCCTGAAAAGTGTTCAAAAGGAAAGAATTCAGCAAGAAAAAAGAATATAACTTAGGAATGGGAATTGTCTAGACAAGATAAGAGGGTGGCTATATAAGATAGAGTGAGCTGTCACTCATTTCACTACAGTTGAAATAAGGTCTTCCTCCTTCTTGTTTACCCTTATCCCTTTTCCCTTCTGAATACCTTCACCACTTATCATACACTGACACAGCAATTCACCAGACACCTCTAGGAGCTGGAAAGGAAGGGAGAAGGAACAAGACTCTCCCTTTCAACAGAATTAAGCTTTACCACACAAAGCCTGCTTTGCTATCCCTTTAGATGACTGTCTTCTCAAAAAACAAGGTTTATAATAGGAAAAAAGAAAAATAAAAATCAATGCTTAAGTTTTGAAACAAACATAGAGAAATATCCCATTGCAAACTATCTTTCCATGCAGCAGAAGCCACTTTCTATTCACTTTATCTCTTTGCAAAGTAAACAGATCAAAGTCTATCAGCGTCTGAGAGAAACATTCCTTAACGCCCTAGGCAGAACTCAAGAAAATTTTAATTATTTTGTAACAGGAAATGGGGGAATGATAACAGGCTTATGGATTCCCAAGTAAAAATGAATAAATAAACAAACAAAAAAATGAAAACAAAAATGCACCAGGACAAAATGCTTAGATAAAGATGGTCGGTACCACTAGATACTTCTACTGTAATAGATCTCTATCAAAAAATTCTTCATGGCTTGCACACACAGGAAAAATAATCCGTACACAGATTCTAAATGTTGCAGTTAAGGTAATGAAAACAAAATGACAAAGTGTCATCTTAGGTGACTGACTTCTTAGGCAGGGGAAAACGCTCTTAATTACAATCAACTCTATTCTGTATACAGTAAATACAAATTTGAATTTAATTTATATTACAGCTGAATAAATGCAAGTTTGAGAACATTTTTTTTCAAAGTATATACTTATCTTTACTCCAACTCTTCTCGCTAACTTTGTCCATGCAACCTTAAACACTACAGAAACACATTCACAAGCTTTGACTGTTTGCAAAGTAGAACCAACTAGTATCTTCATAAGACATACACACAGTCCTGAAAACTCTACTTTGTAAACTGCAATGATTCTGACAAGTACAAAATAGCAATAAATCTGCATATAATTGATAATTTCCCTTGAAGAGAAACTCCTGTCTGAAGTTTCACAGTATCTTGTATATTTCCATTTCCAATTTCTAGAGAAGGAAAAAAATGTTTGTTTGTTTGTTTTTTGTCTGAGTACCTCCTCTTGCCTGAGCACACTGCAATGCCACTAAAAGGGTTTGTTCTTATAAGCACTGCCTGTGACCCTGAAAAAAAAAAAAAATCTTTATTAGGGAAGAATGAAAAGCTAAGTATTTTTGTCTTTAAAAATATTCTAAAAATTGAGCTTCCCTGCAGCTAACTTGCTTGCACACGCAGATTACTCAAATGTATAAATAGTCTGTTGGGAGGAGGTAAGAAATCTACAAAAGTAAGCAGTGTGCTTTTTTTTTTTTCTTTTTTTTTTTTTTTTTTTTTTTTCCTGTTGTTAAACAGAATGATTTTGCATAAGAAAATAGATTTTTTTTTTTCCTAAAATGGAAGAATTTAAATTATAATTCTTCATAATTCTTATAATTTTATGATTCCATGAAGACCATCTATATTCAAGGCACTTTCCATTAATTTCTTTTACTTCTACATTAAAATACAGCTTTAAATCTAAATGCATGCATAGCATGTAACGTGGTTACTATCATATATACATTTATACAGAATGGCTCAACATTATGAAAAAGAAAATACATTTGGAATTTTTCAGTAAGAATTTCAACTTCTTGTTATTGTCACTCGCAGTCTTGTATTCTTTCAAGTGCTACAGACTTTTAAATATAGATATGTATCTTAGATACATATACATCATATGTAAATACATATATAGATATGTAGGTTATCCTAGAAGGAATCTGGTATACAAGTACACAGCATTTGTGCTGTTGGCCAAGCCTTTTGATATCCATAAACAAAAAAGGTTAGGCTTGGAAAAACTTTGTTCAATCTACATGTTTTTCAAATTTACCTATATAAGATTAGATACTTAGCTAGAGATTATTGAAGATCAGAAATACTTCAGAAGTCTATTTCTGTCTTAAAGAGCTCTCAACACGACAGCGCTCTTTTGTTCATATTGAAATTGTTGAAATCCATAAACTTTCAGCATTTTATAAATACCTAAAGGAGTAGGGCCTGCAAATAAGAAAATATAAAAGGAGAGCAGTGGAAAGAAATATTAAAAAACAACAACAACAACATATCTATATTATATAAATCGCCATTTTTAGCTATTCTATTATTTCAGATTCCTTGTATTACATTTAAGAATCATTCCTGAGAAGAGATGTCTCGACTCTCATGACACATATTTAACAAAATTTATTCATGGAAGTCCTCCGTCTGTTCTAAAATGAATGCTATTATAATTGTTTTAGATCTATATAAAGACAAATGACAGACCAACTGCTGTAATGGAATTTTTAATGATACTTTTCTGGCTAACCGGGCATGCTACTGTGAACTGTGGACTAACTGAACAAGATGAAAATTCTCTAAAACTGTCTTTACATTCTAGGTAGAATTACACTATTCTGTACTGCTTTGTAAATGCTTTAAGAAAAATCGTATGAGGCTAGTGGTAGATGTACTTTATTTCAGCTATACACTGCTTCTGTATGACAGAGGGGTGTCTGAATTGATAAAAGACTTGAGAAAAGATAATCTGTCTCTAAAAATACATTCTAAACTTAGATATTATCTGACTTTTTATTCTACATCTCACCCAACTCTATTAATTTAAATAACCTTACTCACTGGAATTATGAAGGTAGCCCTAAAACTACATCTAAATTAAAAAACTGGGACCAGATCTCCAAAACAACCTGCAGATTGAGTAGCTAAATAGCAAAATTTTGAGGAGTATTTAGCATTTTTCAGCTTACATGAACATATAGAAGCTGAACTCTTCAAAATTTTGCTACTCAAGTCAGCATGAGGCATTTTCTTTCACGTGACGACCTCTAAATCTCTCATCTCTCACCCAAAGCTGTTTTTTCAAATAATAAATCAGAAAATGAAAACACAAGTACTAAATTATGAAGTGCTTCATTTTCTAATGTTTGTTAAAATACTGGTAAGGAGGGTGTGTAAAGGAGGGGTTAGGGAGTGGAGAAGGGCTGGAAGATATTCTTTCATATGGTCTCTGTTCCTTTTTATCTTTAGAAAACACCTGTTTTTAAGAGCACAGTTAAAAATCACAGAATAGCAAAGTTCATATTTGAAGTATTTCTTTTCACTGTACATTATTTAGTCTTTTAAATCACAAAGAATCTTAATTAAACTGTTATACTTCCTTAGCGTTTGGATCTTTTTGCAACTCAGGAGACTTTGGGTTAGCATCTCAACTGGTGTCAATCACACAGACCCATTCGGGTCACCAGAAATCAACTGACATGTTGTTGCATTATACATATATGTATATATACATAAAAGCCTTGAACGTGCAAATGGGTATTTATATACTTAAAACATGGAGAGTTCCCTTGAAGCTACTTGGCCACGTCACCATAACATGGATAGACTTTCAGCATAAGCCAGAATTTTTGCTATCCTCTATATATGAAAGACATTACTGACTTGGGTTTCGAAGCAGTAGATGGAGAAGTGTATACTTAGAACTAATTCAATGCTTGCTGGTTTTGCTACTTAATTTAAATATATATATCTAATATTTTATGCAATTGTGGCCACCGATGTTTCTATAGCATTCTGTCATTCTTGCACGCACTCTAGTTAGCTAATCTGTCCCTGTGTCTGCAAACCTTGTTAGGAATATTAGGCTAGTCTGGTCCCAGTAAGTCAAAAAATTCCCATTAACTGGACAGGATCTCATCTACTTTCCTGTAAGTTCTGAAAGAAATCATCATCCTTGTAAAAGCAGAAGTAAAACTTTGCCCACTCCTCAATCAGTCCAGCTCATAGCTATTTATCATGCTGGCAAACATTCTGTGGCTTGGAGCTGATATACATCTCTTCCTGTACACAGCGTCTTTTGGTTCAGACAGAAGCTGGGAGCAGTACTGCAGTTACTGCTGCCACTGTATTTATGCACATGCAGTTGTATTTACCTGAACTTCACGCTCAGATCTCCATAGTACATAAGCTACAATCCCTTCAGAAGCTATACACATAACAGGAGTAATTTAAAATACATTGCCAATAGCATAGAGCTGAGGTTACTTCCTAAGACCTCTTCCGGAACTTTAAGCTGAAATTATTTTTTTAATTATTGAATTATTGTTAAAAAAAAAAAAAAAAAAAAAAAAAGGAGGAGGAAGGAAGGGAGGGGAAGGGAGATTTTAGCATTCACAAACAATATTGTTGTTGTTGGTCTCTGGAAAATACCGTGGTATTCTGACTCCTTTGCAGGTAAAAACTAGTAAGAGGCTTACACTCCTTTTGAAACCTATGACATGGGAGTAACTCCATTGTCTTTACTTAATTTGTTCCGATGGCACAGAGTGTTAAGGCCAAGTCCCATGTGAAGTGTTTATGCCATGCCCAAGGCACACGTGACAACATTTGTTCCTGCCTCAGAATACTACTGTATAAGAGTATATAAAATATCAATGTCTCAATTTTAAAATGCTACAAGCATCTTACAACCCTTAGACCTTATATAACTCTTACAGGTGTAAGCTTAAAGGATAGCAAAACCTACTCTGATGTAAAGTCTAGTGTTATTACACTTCTGATTGTCTTTCCATGCATTCCTGCTTTCTCGTAAGTTTCAAATTCACGACCTGATTGCTTGTGCACGTCAGACAGAGGGCGATGTTTTCTTCTGTAAGCCTTGAGCTCTCTTACCATTCAAGTGTTCATTTATTACTTCCCTAGCATTCCAAAAAAACAAACCACCAAAGTTAAAGAGGCTCTTCAGAGGTTGTTTAGCTTACCCTGCAGCTTCAAGGCGGAATTAACTATATTTAAACCATTCCTAAGATGTTTGTCTAATCCGTTCTTGAACACCACCGGTACCAGAGATTGGAGCACCTCCCCAGGCATTCTGTTCTAGTAATTCATTATTCTACCCCCTAGAAATATTTTGTAATGTCTAATGTAAATGCATTTTAAGCTCATTACCTCTTGCACTCTTTGTAACAGACCTAGAGATTTTTTTTTCCGCCTTGTATGCTTCTGACGTCTTTTCACAGCAGATTTGTTTTATGCACACTTAACCACCCCAATTTTATCATCTAAGAAAAAAAAATGAACAAAAGATAAGAAAACATAGCAAGACTACTATTCTTAGAAAGAAAAAAGTAGATCCCATTCTGGACCTACTATCTTTATCTGTGATCATATACAATAAAACATTTTAACAATGGTCATTTATCATGTTCCTCAAGAGAACCAATAAAATGCAATGAATACACATCCTCTGATGTTGCACAGATACAAAATGTATAGTTTGTTTACAAACTAATATTACTGAATGTAAAATGAAGCAACATTTTAAAAAAATATATTGGTAAAAGTCCAAAGTTTACATTTTCTAAAATATTAAATTCGTGTTTTATTTACAGACCAGCTTTCAAATGATTATTGGCATTTTAAGATAATTGCTTAACCTGATGGGTACATGTATAAAATGAAACTGTAAAACAAACAAACAAACGAAAACAATAAGCAAAGTTTCATATAACAGTTCCAAAAACGCTATTTTCCATTTCTATTTAGAAATGCAAGATGTGATTTGCCACGCAGTAACTTACCAGAACCTGGTCTAACACTTCAATATGATATAGGTTTTGCAAACGACCAATGTTATCCAACCACGTGCCCAAGAGTGCATTTTTTGCCCATTCCAACTTCAAATGAAGTGTTGACAACAGTTGTAATATTTACAAATTTAAAATAAAGGCTCAAAATCCCTTTGGATCACATTATCACTGTTATTGTGTCTTCTCCTGTTGACTACACATAGCAGACTGCAATCCAAAGACTACGTATTTTGCTGACTCTGTGAGTTAAGTTAAATTAGCAGCATCTACCTCAGCTTGTCTGGAAAAAAATAAAAAACAAAACAAAACAGGCAACTCTAAGTAACAGACTAATAGTGAACACTGATTCTGAACCAGTTATGACTGAAATCACCCACTGAAGTCTCCCTCTCGCTGAGAGGTGGCATGCCAGAGGGTGGAAGCTTTGAACCTTAGCAGGACCTATTAGCTGGTGTGACAAGTCAAGATATAAAAACCCACAGTCTGAACACTGCTGGCGGGTATGTGATAGCCCATGGCTGTGCTCTGAAACTCTGGAGGTCTGGCAGTGAATTCCAGTCACTCACCAGTGCAGCTAATTCTCCTGTGCTGCCAGAAACACTCTTTTGCCTTAACTGTGCTAGGTTAGGTGAAGTGAAAGCTGCATAATAATAACTACAGCCTCAGGCTGTATTAGCTTTAACTCATTTCTACGGGCCTGAGTAAGGAAAGAATCTCCTTCTCCATGATGCATCTTTTTTTCCTTTGTGGCTCCATCCCATCTCCTGGGGCCTGCATAAGATTTCTAAAATGAACATAGAAACAATTGAGTCAGACTCTTTTTTTCCCCAGAGAAGGGACTAGTGAGTGCAATGACCCTTCTTCTTTGCCAGCCTGGACCACTGTGAATAATGCCATTTTTTTTAGGAAAGCAAGTACTTACTAGTCCATAAAACTTGCCACCTCAATTAACATGAGAGGATATTTGAGGGAGTGGAATAAGAAGCAATTTTGATTTTATCGCCGCCCTCCAGTACACTCTATGGTACCAACCTCTAGCACCTACCTTGGGTGGAAAAAGGAGGAATTACAGAACCTAGGGAATTAATGGTTGTTTCTCCAAAACTGTAGGTATAGCACCTTCAAAACTATGAAAAACAAGTACTTCCTTCCCATGTTTGGTATGTTCTGAGATCTCAGCATTTTAAAATATAACTCACTCATTTTGATGTCTATACCATACGTAGTATCCCATACTGGATGAAGCAAAACATCAGCCAGTGACGATCCCTGTTTTATAGAGAACTTGATCATACTCTTAAATTAAATCAGGTATTAGTGCATTGTACTGCTAATGTCAACAAAACTATTTTATATTCTAAGAATACCCATCTCTGAAATATTTTAAAATACCTAACCAAGCAATGCTTTGTGTTCCTATGTAGCATTCAAATCTTCTAAAAATAGTTGCTTTTTTTTTCTTTTTGGAAAAGATAATTATCAGTCTAAATGTATACCAACAATAGATTTTGTTCAATTTCTTATATTATTTCTGATAAATTTTCTGTGTTTTTTTTTTTTTTTTAACTACAGGCTATAGTTTCTAATTGCTGCTCTGCTTCAGCAGCCATAGCTGCTGCCTGTAATTGTTCTGTTTCACTCTGGATGGAATTGGCTGTAGTAACTTGTTTTCTTTCACTGTGCATATTGTTCTCATGCCTTTTTAGATCAGATGCTTTAGCAAACGCTTTAGTGCAGGAACTGCAGACAAAAGGTTTCTCTCCTCGGTGTCTTCTTTCATGGTCTTTGAGGTGGGACTTGTGCTTGAAAGCTTTATCACACATATGGCATGCAAATGGCCTCTCATTACTGTGAACTCTTTCATGCTTTTTTAGATCTGGTGCCCGAATAAAAGACTTTCCACATACCTCGCAACTGTAAGGCTTGTAACCTGTGTGTATTTTCAGATGCTCTTTCAAATGAGCTTGTGTGGTAAAGCCCTTTGTACACATTTCACAAACAAATGGTCTATCAGCAGTGTGTAGCTTTTCATGTTTTCTCAGTCGTGCTTCATCAGAAAAGGTCTTACCACAAGCCTGACATACAATGTGTTCCCTGTGACCATAAAGCAAATATTCAAATTTCATATCCCCAGCTGCTGTCGTCCAGCCTGGTGTCTGTTCATCTTTCACCTCACTTATGCCATCATTAAATGTCAAAGCCTGAGGGGTTTGGGATCCTAAGTCTTTTGATTCGGTTGTTTCCATGGGCTCTACCTCTTGGCCATAGCAGTTTACTTTTCGAACCTCTTCACTTCCCAGCTCTTTCAGAATGGCCTCCTGAACTCTCAGGGTAGTGGTAGGTGATTTTCCATCTTCCTGACTGGGGGGAGTTCCTTCCACTGTCACATCAGATGGACTGTCATCGTGATCTCCAATTTCTTCCACCTCATCGTCTTGGGTATCGTTAGGTTCCCCAATAGGACGGTTTATTTTTAGACAGTACTTGTTCTTGGACTGGGTGTTTTCTTCGGGACTAGATACGTCACGTTTTTGCGTGCAGAGTTTATCTAGAAAGCGAATACCAAGAATCTGGCCCGAAGACATCATCAAATTTACATCCTCTTTCTTAACAGAAATCTTTGCAGTGTACATGTAATTGAGAACCTCCTCAAAAATATCAGAACGAAGAAAATCTATTTCTATTACTGATGAACTATCGACTTCTAGTTTTTTGAAAAGCTTTTTGAAGTAGGTACTGCAGGCAGCAAGCACACACCTATGTGCTCTGAACTTAACATCTTCAACCACGATAGCTATGTCACAAAATTCTCCTTCCAAACGTTGTTCGTTTAATGTTTTCAGGAACACAGTTTTGTGATCATCGTCATTGTACTTAATGGTTTCAGACATACTGATGAAAAACTCCTGTAAAATAACAAGGAAAAGCTTTGTAACAAAGTAGTCTAAACCATAAAATCCCAACAGCTGATGCCATTTACACTCCAAAAGAATTGCCAGGTAAATTTTTTAGTTTAACAGGACCAGGAAAAGCCTTTCAGAGTATAAAAACATTACTCTTAAACCTCTTTTAAGTTTTTGAATATATAAAAAATATTGTAAATACATATAAATAACTGCAAATATAAAAATCTCTCCCTAGATTACACACTTTGTAGGACACATAGATACTTGTAGAGGATATTTTTTGCATTAGATATTAATTATTCAAATACTGATTCAGTCATCCACAACGGGAAACTTTCCCTGTGAAGTTGCAATTCCTTGAAAACATGTGATCCAACTGCAGCAGAAGTCATTCACTAAATCTTCATTCTGAAAATTGAGGAAAAACTCTAAATGTGTCAGCATATCCAACTAAAACGCGAAACATCAAATATAAGCCTTACCATGAACAATGCAGGAAATTTTCTGAATAAATGGTTATTAAGTATTTGACAGATGATTGACCCTTACAATGGGCCACCTTCAGCCTGAAAGACAGAAAGACAGTAGCATTTTAAGAAATGATAAAATATATTACATAAGTTATTTTAAATTAGCGTGTTAAAACACAGCATTTGCCATTATTTACAATGATTCTGTAAATACTATTAAAATGCCCTATCCTACCAATGACTTCGTAAATTAATTTGATAGCACTGTTGTCCAAAAACCACACATTTGCTTTCATCTGGCTTCAGCACTTCCCTGACTCTGCTTTCTTGTTACTTTTTCTTGTTACTTACTTACTTTGGACTAGCGCTGAAAGACAGAAAAACTTCTACAGGAATCAACACAGCTAACCTATTAAGCCATCAAAAAAGACCGAATGACTGAATTCTGCTGAATTAGTGAGCAGACCAAGACCAGTGGAGTGAGTGGCAAGCAGACAGCAGCTCGAAGGACAGCGCGTTGGGCTGCAGACGGATGCACTGAGAGACCAAGAGATGGATGCAGCGAGACCAAGGGCACCAGATCTCCAAAGAAACGATGGAGATACTTGAATGGCAGAGGGGTGGTGAAAGATACAGAGTTTGTGTTACTCAATCCCCACTTCCCAGAGGCAGACACTTGTGGCAGAGACAGGAAACGCACTGGAGAGAGGAGGGCAACCCAACAGCTGGTTCGAACACCTCCCTCCATCACCTCACGTGCAGGATGCTCAGCTCCTGAACTCCTACTGATCCTTATTATTTTTTTTTGACTGTACATGAAAGGGAAGCAGCTGACAGGCAGGAATGGAAGTGTATGGAAGCAGCCAGCACCCTGCAAGTGTGTAGCAGCAGGTGGACTTAAGTAATAATAAAAAAAAAGGAAAAAGAATAAAAAAAAGGAGGAAAACCGACATTATGGAAAACCGACATTATTGTCGTTGTCGTATATAACCAGATGTTGTGACAGCCGAAAAGGAAGCGTAAATTTTTGTTCTTTTTTTTTTGTTTTTTGTATTTGATATTTGAAGCACACAAACCCACGAAGCTGTGTGTGTGTGTGTGTGTTCAGGGCAGCGATCTCGCCCCTCCTTTGTCCCAGGCCAGCCGCGCACCACAGCGGGCGGAGCGCGGGAGCGGCGCCGCGCACCCGCCGCCGCCGAGGACGCGGCGCGGGCGGGCGGGCGGGCTCCCGCCGGGGCCCGTCCCTCACTCAGCCACCCGCGGCAGGAAGGCGCCGCCCGCGCTCCCGGCCTCTCCCCCCACCCCCCCGCACACACGGCGCCGCCTCACGGGGCTGCGCAGCGCCCCCCTCCCGTCCCGCCTCCGCCGCCAGGCCGCGCGCCCCTTTGTTGCAGCGCCGCCCGCGCGCACCCGGCGGCGGCGGCAGCGGCGGCGCCCGCGTCCCCCGCGCGGCGCTGCCGTTGGGAGAGGAGGGAAAGGAGAAGGAGGAGGAGGGGGGGGGGAGGGCTCGCGCTTACCTGCCGCCCGCCCGCGCGCGCGCACGGAGCCCGCCGCCGCCGCTCGCTGCCGCCGCCGGGGGACGGGGAGCGGGGATGGGGGGAGCGGGGATGAAGGGAGGGGGACGGGGAGAGGAGGGGAAGGGGGGAGGGGGGGGGAGATTTGGGGAGGGGGGACCGGGGGGCCGGGGGGGCCGGGAGGGGAGGGGGGGGGGGTCTGCGCGCGCGTCTGTGCGGCCGCCACCGCCGCCCTCCTGCACGAGCACTCAGTGCGCGCGCGCGCGCCGGGGGCGGCGGGAGGTGGTGGTGGTTGGTGGGGGGGGGGGGGGCAGAACGTGCATGCGCGGTGCGAGCAGGGCGCGCCTCAGCCGGGGAGCGTGGAGAGGAGCACAGAGAGAGAGAGAGAGTGGGGGGGGGCGCGCGCCACAACGGGCGCCGGGCACCCGCCCGCGTGTGCGAGCCCGGCCCCCCCCCTCCCTCCCTCCCCTTTCCCTCCTCCCCGAGCGGGCGGGGCGCGAGGAGCGGCCGCGTGAGGCACGGGCACGAAGGCGGCGCGCGGGGGCGGGGCCGGGGCCGCTCGCGCCCGGCGGCGGCAGCGGGAACGGCAGCGGGAGCGGGAGCGTGAGGCGGGGCCGCGGCTCCTCGCGGCCCTGTGGGCGGGAGCGCTGAGGGGAGCGTGCCCCGGCCGGCCGCGCGCCGCGCGCTCCTGGCGGCGCCTCAGCGCTCCTAACGGCCCCGCGCGGCGCTGAGGCAGCGCTGAGGCAGACGGGGAGAGGAGAGAGCTGCGGCCGCGCCTGTCACTGCCCGCCTCCCTTACATTTTGCTTTATTTTATTTAATAAATAAAATGGATAAATAAAGCTTTAAAAGTTGCAACTCTTGCCCCTTTCTGAGTCATCTCTCGTAATGTTCCTATATCAGACAAATACGTTTAGCGAATTGCTCGCCAAGCTGCATCACGTATATTTTTAAAATTATTCAGTATAAAACGTATATTATCTACCCGATTTTAGATATTATGAAAGCAAATTTGTATTTTGACTGTGCAGCCAGGACTGCCAGGCCTGTTTTTGCCCCCTGCCCCAGCAGGGCCACCCAGAGCAGGGTGCCCAGCACCACAGCCAGGCAGCTTCTGAAGGCCTCCATGAGGAGACCCCACGGCCTCTCTGGGCAGCCTGTGCCAGTGCTCGGCCACCCACGCATTCAGACAAAACCTCCTGTGTGCTGTGCTCCTGCTTGTGCCCGCTGCTTCTTGTCCTGTCACTGGATGCCACTGAAAAGAGCCTGGTTCCTTTTTTGTGCCTTCCCTTCAGATGTTTATACGTATTGCTGAAAGCCCCTCTAAGCACCCTGTTCTCTATGCTAAATAGTCCCATCTCCCCGAGCCTTTCCTCATAGGAGAGAGCTCTGCTTCCACAGTCATCTTAGCGGCCCATGGCTGGACTCTTGTGGTAGCTCCACGTGTCTCTTCCACTGGGGAGCCCAGAACTGGGCACAGAAATTCAGGTTTGGTCTCACCAGTCCTGAGTACAGGGGGTAGGGTCGCCTCCCTGCTGGTGACACACCTAGTGCGGCCCAGGATACCACTAGCCTTAATTTACTGCAAGGGCACATAGCTGGCTCATGGCCAACACCGTGTCAACCAGGACCCCCATGCTGACCACCAAATTGTGCCTCTTATGCTCTGTGTTTCTGCTACACCTGCACGGTGCCCAGCGCAATGTGAATGTGCTCAATATCCAGGGGCAGGTTCCACTGTAGTGCACATGGTCCTAATTAAACCGCTAGTGGAAGACAGCACGGTTACCACTGGGAAAGTACAGACCTTGGTGTCCTCTCTCTGCTTTCTGTGTAATCTACTTTTGAATGAGTGCTACATGTTTCAAGTTGTATCAGGAGCAACTCTCACTGAGAGGCTAAAACACAGCAAGCCTGTGTGTATCCAGATTATATCTCCACAACTATGACCTGTTGAAAAACGAAACATCGCTACTGCCAAACTGTGTCACCTTTTTCATCACTTGTACCATCCCAGGAGTTTGCCAAGTGGTCTGAAGCCAGCAGTGCTCTCTGGTGAGCTTGCAAGCTGAGCTAAAACCTTCCTCCTTTCTACCTGGAGGTGCAGGAACACTGCCTGACTGTAAATGCTATAGATAATATTATAAAGCACGTACAGGGAGCAGTAGGCCTAAAGGTTATTAAGATTTGGCAGTACCGGGCAATAACAATAAAATTGCAGATTATTTAAACTACTGCATGTGAGACAATTCTCCATTTCCCTGTGATGATTTTTGCTGAGTGATTGAAGCAGACAAGAGATAGAAAGTGTCACATGAAAAAAAAAGTCATGTCACAAGCTTCTGGTGAACCTGCTTGTCTGAAACGCAGCTACAAGCATGCACCCTCTATGTCTCTTGAAGGCCCTACACTGAATGGTAGCAGAGGCCTAGCAGTCATCTCAAGTGGGGTTTGTGGAAACTGCAAGTAAAATGGCTGCACATATGCAACTGAAGCAGGTCTGGATGTGGGCAGGTTGCTCTGGGCTTCAGGAATAAAAGAAAAAAGGTAGAGGTCACAGATATTTCTAATGCAAAGACCTGGGATCAAAAGTACCATTACTGACGGTAGAACATAAAAATAGGAAAACATCTCCGCTAGCATGCCTGTGGGCTAATATATATCAAGTCAGTTTGCCAAAAGTAAGTGTTTCCTCAGTCTAGTGGAAAAGACTCTTCTGCAGAAGAAGTGTAACCAGGAGGAAAAAAATGCCCTGATCCTATATATTTGAGTGCAACACTCTTCCTGTGAAATTACCCAGCACCCAGCTAGCCCAGATTAACATTCAGGCTTTGAAGCAGATTTGCTGTTTTGCTATCTGATGCACCAGACTGTGGATACTGTGGAACTGTTTCCAGACTATTTTCACCGTAGGGATATACATGTAGGGAGAACAAGACCTCTGTAGGATGGGCTTGTTGGTTTTGCAAATTGTATAACAGGAGTGCAGCGCGACAAGTGCCACTTTCTGCAATCATACATGTATGTGAATGAGGCATCAGAGATGCAGGCAGGAAATGCTGAAGGTTTGCTTCTAAAATGTTGAAAGTGGTGACAAGCTTTAATATATACATGTATATTGTGTCAGTGCGTTCTTGTGCGTTTGTGGTGTTAATGTCAATGGTGTTAAATCTTAATATCATGGCTTGTTGTCATGTATTCTGATTGTATCTTGCTCTTGCAGAAAGAGGCATAGATCTCCCATGTGAATTTTGCATGGATTGGGCGTTTCATCACACAGAGCGTGCAGAAGACAGCAAAGATACAAAATGTCCACTCTGTGAAAGGGAATCTCAGAGCCTGTTCACGTATTCCCACACGTCAGCAAGGACTGTCTGTTTAAGCCTCGGTGGAGTAAAAGTGAATGTGCTAGGACAGAGGAGGACAGTCACAGAGCAGATGCTCCTCGCAGAGTGTGTTACCCATAGCAACCTGGCGAATTTCCCAGCAGAAATTTGCGTGCAACTTAGTCATGGTTTTGCATCATTTACTCACTTCTGTGTTTTCAAGCATCTTCAGATGCTTGAAGATAGAATAGTAGAGAGAAACAAGGAGGAGCAAAGTACAGGGGATGGAGGTTGGTGGCACTGCCCTTGGTTCAGCTGCACGAGCAGGAAAGGTGGCGAGGCCATCTCGCCATCCCAAACACTGAATAGTGCTAACAGTTTGCACCTGTGCCTGAAGGCACACAGGCCCTGTCTGGAGGCCCTGAGCTCTAAAATTGTATTTAGTAGTATTTTGAGGTAGAAGAGCATCTTAACTGTACACTCTCCCTTGTGATTTAACCTGGCAGGCAACTAAATACTACACAGCCATTCTCCCACTCCCACACACGGCAGGATAGGAAAGAAAAGAGAAAAAAAAAAAAGTAAGAACGTAAAAACTTGTGGGTTGAGATAAAGACAGTTTAATAGGACAGAAAAGAAATAGAACAGAAATAATAATAATGATAATAACAGTAGTAATAGTTATATGTACGAAGGAAGTGATGCGCAATGCAGTTGCTCACTACCTTCTGACCAATGTCCACCCCATCCCTGAGCAGTGATACCCCCACACCCTGTCCAGTCACCCCATATTAATTGCTCGGCATGATGCCACATGGTATGGAAAATCCCTTTGGCCAGCTGGGGCCAGCTGTCCTGGCTGTGTCCCCTCACAGCTCCTTGAGCACACCTAGCCTCCTCCTGGCAGGGTGGTGTGAGGAGCTGAAAAGTCCTTGACTCTGTGTGAGCACTGCTCTGCAACAACTAAAACATCAGTGTGTTATCAGCATTATTCTCATCCTAAATCCAAATCACAGTACCATACCCGCTACTGTGAGGAAAATTAACTCTACCCACTTGAAACCAGGACATCCTACACCTTGTGCCACGTTTATCTACAGTCACGTGTAGTAGTACATGATGATATGCTTGTCAAAAGTTGTGGTAGATTAGGATTTGTGGCACGCAAACTTAGCAATTCACTCTCTGTGCATGCACAAGGCACTCCATATTCTTTTTGTTCCTAAGCAAAATAGTCCAGCTGTAGTTTGAATAATACCGGATGCCTTATTACAGTCCGTGCCTGACTCTGTCTCACTCTCATCCTTTTTTTTTAATATGTCTTTATTGATGTTTTTCAGTTTGTGCTCCATTTCTTTATTGATTTTTTCTCTATTTCTTCCCTGTATCCCCACCACTCTCTCATGTTCCCTTTTCCTTTCTTTCACCACCAGTTTTCTCCAGGCCCAGTACTTGACTTTGTATGACACCCTTATTTAATTCAAATGATGCAGGGAGTGAGTGAAGGATGCTTGCCACTTCCCAATGCCAAGTGCTGGAGGTAATTCAGGAAAACCTCACTTTCTTTCTTCCTCTTCACGTGTGTCCTCTCTGTGTTTCCTTGCATCCCACTTCCTGCATTTTCCGAAAGGAGCTGAGCTTGCCAACTGAAAGCAAGTACTGTTAAATATAATGTATTTATTTTTTCAAGAGAAAAACAAACAAACAAGCCTTTATATTGCATTTGAGTATTAGAAACTGTCCATC